TACATTTGCTGATAGTTACAATTGGTTTAAATTTAAAATAACAATGTTATAACAATATAAGCAAAAAAAAAATCAATTCAAATGGTTAATATTAGAATTCTAACACAATAACCTTATTTTCTCCTAACCTCAACCTAGTTTCTTAGAAGAGTAAAACAGTTTACCTTTGTTTATTATCATTTATAAAATCACTCAGCAGCCAAGCATGGAAGAAAAATATGTATTATGTTTCTCTTAATTTTATTAGATCAATAACAATGATACAAATTATTAATCAACCTTCGATGATTTATTCTTTATGCCATTGGCTATTAGGTACAAAATACTCTGAACTAGCTTGTTCAATAACTAGCTTTCCTCATTTTTTTTTTTTTTACTTTCTCTGCTGAATTTAGACTCTCATCGTTATCTTCAACAATAGCAATAAACATTTTTTGATCAGGTTCTAACAGCAAGGCTGTGTGCTAGAAATTGAATATACAAAGGTATAATATTGTCTTTCAGGAAGTTTATGACATAGCCGATTAAAAAAACTGAATATTTGAAAATACCAATAAAATGCAAGGCAGCATAAAGTGGCAAGTGGGTGTTCTTAACACAGTATGCATTTGTGAAAGATGAAGAAATTTTCTGATACTAGGACAATCAAAGACAACATGACAAAGGTCATGGGAATGAATCTGGGCCTCACTGCAAAATGGGGAGAATCTGGTTAATAATGAAATAGACAGCAATTTATTGAAAAAGTGAAGAAAGAGTTTGGGCATTCTGGACAAAAGAAACACACTGAGAAAACAATAGATTAGAATAAAGTTGCTATGACACCAAAACCAATCCAACAGGCAAGCAGGGGACAATGTAGGCGCTCACTTCTCAGGAGCTGAGGATATTTATCACTTGGTATGATATTCATATGGCCTCACTAGCTTCTAGAACAGCTCTGCTCTTAACATTTGAACAATTTATTGCCTAATTATTTCATTTGCCCTTTTGAAGAGGCTCTCTACAGGACACTTTCTGGGAGTGAGAGCACAAAAAGGGGGCCCTTGGAAAGTTATCCTCTCCCCATTGCATTAAAAGCAAAATAACCTTTTATCAAATGCTTTGTGACCATTTCAAATATTGAATTTGTATTTTAATCTTGGAGTTCAACAGGAATATAGCCAGTGGGAAGGACTTAATTACAAATGATGTCTTTCTCATGGTTATGCCCGCAATCCCAAGGGATGTTTTAATGAAGTTCTGAGCCCTCAGACAGGAAAGGTCAAATGGCTTTCCTCCCCTGGTACCTCAAAGTGCACATAGCTGCACCTTTATCCTCACAGATGTTCAACCAGGTATAATATTAGCCAGAGGCGAAAATTCCAGGAGATGTGAACTCACAGGGTTAAGAGTTCTTTGGAATTCAGTGGATAATAGAACAGCCTCTTTCAGAGTTTGAAGAGCAGATGAATTTAGATAATCACCATTTGAATACAAATGTATATTTCATTAGTGATATAATATGCCAGGAGGAATGCCATTCTCCTTGCAAATGTATCACATATTAAAAATTCATGATATTTTAGGCTGATATTTTTTAAATGGTGAGGATGTTTCTGCAATGTTTATGCACATATTTAAGTTTGTATTACGTTAGCTGGATGAAATTGCCTTTTTTTGTAGGTCAAAAATGGTTGAATATTCCATTTTATCTGGTTCAACCTGACTATTTAAGTTGTCTTACAATTAGGAAAAGAATGCAAAGTTACATTTTATAAAACCATCCTGACCTAATTTATTCTTAAAAAGTATTTTTGCACCATGCTAAACAAGATCTTTTCAAAATGTGCTGATTTGTGTTTGTGTGTGTGTGTGTGTGTGTGTGTGTGTGTATCCATTAGCTCTAAATTTGTATTTGCTTTTCCTCGCACTGGCCTGGATTTTCAATTTTGATTTTTAGGCTTTGTATCGCGAGCACTAGCCAAGTAACTTAAGGTAGAACCTGACATACATTTTAAGCACCTAGTCGTTTTAAAAATTAATACTGGAGAAAAGATTTGGCTTTTCTTAAAACGTTAAAAAGCTGGTTGCCCTGCCTTCCCCAAACAAAACCAAAAATACCTCAATATGCCATGAAAAGCATGTGTTTCCACATGAATTACTAAGTTAATAATTAGAAGATTCATACACAGAATGCAAGTATTTGGGTCTTCCATTTTTTTTCACAACTTATACTTTCACAAAATATTTGGTCATGAAATAGATTTGAATTTATTTAGTTAGTTCCTTAATTAGACTTTTTAACTAAAATGTATTAGTATGGCTTTGCCCCAACGCATAATTATAGTAACAGACGAAAGTAATGTCTACCTCTATAAAGCATTATTTAGGTGAATATTAATTAACTTAAACATAAAAATATTTTTAATATTCTTAAAGCTGATTCCAGTGTAAATTTTAAATAATTACTAAAATATGTGAAATTAAAAATGAATGGAAATGTATATAATGTCAAATTAAGTCTGAATAAGACTTAAAACACACACTTTTGGCAGGTTAAGTATCTGTGATTAAAAATACTGGAGATCTTTTAACAAAGACTAGTAACTAGGTAACTTGGAAAGGGATCTAGGAAATAAGGGTAGGATAACTCTTGTCTGGAACAGTAGAGGTAAGTAGCTGTGGTTATTTCTTGAAGCTTATCTCACTTGGTGGAGTTGTACCTGAGACTGAAACAAACAAAAATTCTAGAAGAACTCACTGCGATCCAACCAAATCGCAAAACAGATGGTCTTGTGTGCCTAACAGACAATTTCTGAAGAGAATAAATTCATGGAGCAGACCACAAAATAAAGGGAACAAGTGCCATCCATGGGCCAGCCCATCTGATGGACTCTCCAAGCAACTCCCAGAAATTAGGTTTTTAAGCTGAAAGAACAAGATTAGGGTCTAAGCTCTCTTTACACGATTTCATAACCACACAATACCAGCCTCGCCATCGTTATGAAGCTTTGATATAAAAATTGTGAGATACTTGTTTTTAAGTCTAATTCCTTTATGTTCCTTAAAATACGGATCATCATGAACATTTACAAGAAATGGCACAAAAACTCTTCTCATGATTGAAAAGCAGAGAGGTATCTTATTTTTATTGGCAGTTAATGTGGGGGCCTACACTATAACAGCTGTCTCAATAGCCATTAAATTAACAACATAAAATCGCAAAACCTTTAGCGGCCTGTTTTCTGTGGGGAGAAATAGAAAAAAATGACTAAAACGGCGTCTTCCCGGGGTTTTGGAACGACTGTACAAGAAAGGTGTTGGATTGGCTGTTGGGAGATTCATTTTTAATTATCTCAGTTTGAATATAACTGTCTTCTTTTAGTGAGGATTTATGGGTGTTGGGTTTGTTTTTGGAACAAAATCTTTCCAAGAGGCACGTGTTAATTTACCAAGCACCTGAATGGCAAGGACGACGAGTCTGGGGCAAGAATCAGTGAAATACGTCAAGGGAAAGCTTGGGGGGGGAGTGATTTTTTCTTTTTTTTTTTTTTTAATTTATTTTAAGATCTCTTTCCCGCCTCTCTCCAAAGGGGAAGCCACCACCGCGGTTTAGGCTTAGACTTTATCTCTGAGACAATAGCGCCGCTCGCCGCCTCGGGCGCAGCTCAGACCTCTCGCCCTGCCCTGCCCTGCCCTGCCCTGCCCGCGCCCTCGTCCCCCCGCCCGGCCAGCTCATCTGCCCCGCGAGTCACCTGCCCCGCGGACGTCCCTGCCTCACTGCGCCTGTGTCCCACTGACGCCGCCACTCCACTAGCTCATCTGCCCGCAAGTCCCCCAGCCGCGCCAATCCCTCTGCTCATCAGTCCTCGGCCCCGCCGGACCCTCTGCCCCACGGGTCTCCCCGCCCCACGAGCGCCCCAGCTGGGCTGCAGCGGTGGTCGTGAAGAGCCCGCAGTCAGTCCAGCCTGCGCCTTCCCCGGCCCTCGGGCCAGAGCCGGCATGAGGCCGCGAGCCCCTGGACGCCTCCCAGCGCCCCGCGCCCACGGTGCCCTGCACCCCCGGGCTCTCGGGCGGGCCAGCCCACGTCTCGCCTCCTCGCTGGCCCGGAGCCCCTCAGGCTTGTTTGCTTGTCCTCATCCCCGGGCCACCCCGCTCCCTCCCGGCTGCTTCAACAGCCGTTTGCTTCCTGCGGTGTGTTTCTTTTTTTCCCCTCCTAGGCTCCATCAAAGGTGGCTCTGTTATTGAAATATGAAGCCATTTCCTCTCCAAAACCCTTGGTTACTCAAGGCGGGAATCAATGGACCTATATACTCTCCCAGGAGTTATAAATAAACGTCTGTTTGTTCAGGAGGCGTTTTCCCGCGTGTCCCAGCATCTTCCCCAGTGGTTATTTTAGGGGTGTGTGTGTGTTGCGCGCGGGCGCGCGCGCTCACCCTGTGCCCATCTGGTTCTAATCCTGGGTATGGATCCATAAGCCAACCCCACCCATCTCGTCTGCCCCTCGCATTCCTCACTCTATAAATAAATCCAGGTTCTTTGAGCTCTGTCATCCAAGGATACAATAGCAGTTGTTTGTTAAGGGAGAGTCAAACCCAGATTGATAACTGAGTCCAGTTAACAAGAAAATACAGTTCTTGCAATTTGGGTGGAAGGGTACCTCCAGTTTATGGAATTTTGTCTCCTGTTGTCATGATTGCCTCTCTACCTATTCACCCTAGGTCTACTTTGGGGAGAGGGAGGTGGAAAAGCCAGGACCTTTTCTACCTTTGGATTTTTCTTTTAACCAAGGCAAACACACACACACACACACACACACACACACACACACGCTAGCGCGCGAAAATGCACTGTCCTGGAGTTTCTGTCTCACACTGCTGCCCCATAGACCATCCTCCAGACCCCTTACCCCAGCCCCTCTGTACAGACCTAGGAGTGGTGAGAGTTCAGGAGGTGTGGTGTGGGTGGGGGTTGCGGCTGTAGCTGCTGCTTTCCCTGAACCCCTGAGCGGGATACTCAGGGATCTGAGCAGAGTGGAAAGTCATCTAAGAAGCTGCTGTTTCACAAGATCTGGGCACAGAGCTGCCCCTCCCTTCCTCCCTGAAGTTTGCATGAAGTGCACGTTAGGCTGTAATTAGGGGATCTGGGAGGAGAACTTTCCTGGTGACGCTTTGCTTTTCTTCTGCTCTTGGTGAGAAAGTGCCTCCTTCTTCCCAGGACCAGGACCTCTGCCATCCAGCGCCACAAAGACACATTCTGCGCACACACACACACACACACACACACACTTGCCCAGAGACAAACTTAAGGTGAGGAGAAAGAGCGCTAGCTTCACTTGATCTCCAGGCTCCAACCTCAGCAGGACTTGAGAGCATCTGAACTTCTGGATTTCAGGACAAGGTAAAACTTCCATAAATTTTTCACTCTTCCTCTCAAACCTTGTGCCTTTAAGATTTCAGAGAGCAATACATATTATGATGTATATATACATTAAAACAAGTTTTCTTATTTTCTTTAATTTTCTTTTGGGTTTAACATGACATCTCCACTTTTTTTTTTTTTTTTTTTGAAGAGTCATATTGTCAGACAAAATGCTGAAGTGCAATAAAAAAAGTTCAGTCTACTTTGGGGTAAGGATTAACTCTAGTATCCTGGGTTTTGCTAGTGCTACTATAAATCTGGTAGGCATGTGGTTTCCAACTCTTGGCTTTTCCATCTGTGTTTCAACAAGCATTTTTATTGCACCTGAAATTATAAAAAAAAAAAAAAATAGTATGGATTGAAGGAAATGCTAAGGAATGGGAATGACCATTCCAGACTTATGACTTTTATTTTAGGAAATATATAAGTTTGTGTGGAAAAGAAAGATACGGCAATCATGTAGGTAATACCTGTTAGATTGATAATCTTTGAGGTGTTACCAGTTTTGTTCCCAGCTTCTCCGATTAATTGTGAAATTAAGATTATAGAATTATGTGTGTCATACATAGAATGATGTTGCTAGATAATTTTAAGGCACTGAAAAATATTTTAAAGTCATAGTTATTAAGATTACTTTTAAAAGTTGGTTAAACGATTTATGTATTGAGACTGTTCACCACCCTAAGCAAATCTGAACACTTTGGGGCTTAAATGAAGTTGTTTTCTTCCATTGAATTTGACTGTTGTGTTCAAAATGAGATGGTTTATTACTTTGAAAATAAGTTATTTTATTTTCATTTATCACTGGAAAAATACACAAAGTGGCTAGTACATTTGGGAATTTTTAGGGTGGAAAGTGTTCCTGTACATGTTCCAGTGTGATGTCATAAAATCAAACATACTGGCTGGCTTCTTGGAAGCTAACGGTTCTTAAGAAATAAAGCCTGTGAATTAATTTCTAAGTGAAATGTAATATTTATTCATTACAAATGTAGTTTCTGGTAATCATTCTATTTGATTATTTCAGTGTACTAAATTTTGCAGTAATTTTATACATACTCCAGTGACTTCAATATTTTAATGGAATCATAAAATGGGAATATTGTTATACCAAAAATAAATCACACAAGTTCTTTTTGGATAACTTTTACTGTGATAGTTCTTAATTCTTACATTAGTTTTTATCCTCATTTGCATTTATTTCTACTAATAAAAAAGTTTTCAATTCCATTCAGTAAAATAGAATGTATGCCAGAGGTCTATTGAACATTTATTAGTCTTTAGTCATTTGGGGGCTATCTGTTCTTAATAATTTAATTGTTTAAGCTAAGAGCTGACGTTACATTTTTGGTAACCTCTTCACAAAATTGGAAACAGCTTAAAAATGGGAAAAAATAGATAAGTAGGAGTAATTTTCTTTAAGGTTAATTAAATGAGCAAGAGAAAACCAACAAACTTAAAAGATCACTGGCCCCCTGGGAGAACATGCCCAGAAGCCAGTATTCCAAACAGAAGTGTCCAGTGGGCCTGGGCTTTCCATGAGAAAAGAAGAAAGAGGAGCGCATCATGTTCTTATAAAGTGAGCCATTTATTTATTGTCAGCAGGCCCTGTCTTTCAGAGGAATGACGGACACTGTAATTTAGAAGTACTGAAGAGACTTTCACAGAGAAGAATCAATTCATTATATCCCTAGTAGTTTCACTTCCTCTTCCTTCCTTTGGGAGCAAGTAACACATCCAGGATAAATACATTTGGCGGAATATGCAGAAAGATACTTTATGTGTAGATGGTTTACGGAACAGTCCTGCCTTTTAACATCTTGGTTGTGGAATGCTGGTATTTTCTGAAGAGTTGAAGAAGTCTTTTTGAATCTTAAGGTAACACTGTACTTTGTTTCAGGAAAAATGAACGCGAATCATTTTCAGAAAATAACTCTCATTTCCAGAAAATGCTAGTGCCAGCTTTCTTTTCATCTCCTTTTGCGTGTTTCCCATGCATGTTTTATTTTCCAGATTACATTTTTAAGGGAATGATATTCCACCAATTAAAATTCCAACAAAATGCAAAGCAAATTTGAAAATAACTTTTACATCAGAGTCTTCTGTTGCCTTTAGTTGATTTTCCAACATCCTGGATTCATTATTAGTAACCATGGTACTTGGTTTGTGCTATTTAAATGTACTTAGTTTGTTATTTAAAGGTAACAAAATATTGTTGGAGGAAAATCGGGAGGGATGGAACCCTGAATATGCTTAGGATTTTAGTCAATAGTGTTTAAGGAGAATTAGAGGAAACAGCTGGTTAAGCAAATATTAGGTGTAGAGTGGCCGTGATAGCATAAATTAATAATGCAGCTCTTTATTTACACCATGAAAGGTAGACTCTGTGATGGTGTGTGTGAAGTACGGTCCCTGTGTGCCACCTAGTGGATGAGTCAAAGAAGGTTTTTTTCCACCAGCCTCTCTCCCTAAAAAAAATCTGAGACTTCCATTGGGTTGACACTGAACACTAACTGTATGCCAGATGTTGGGGTAGGAGCTCAGAGTAGAAAATACGGTAAGTGACTTTCATATAATTTAAAAATCAAGGCACCACTTAACAGTTGATTAAATTCCCGTGGTTGCATTTAAAATCAGCTTAATCTTTACTGGGTAATTTACCATCAACTTTCTGCCTCCATGAGGATATAGTTTAATAACTGTAACTCACTTCCAACACAGGATGTGTTGTGTAGAAGGATGTCATGACCTACCTAGCTCAAGAAAGGACTGGAGAGTTGGAATCTTGAATCACTCTTTCTCAAATGAAAATATATTTCTGTCTGGAATCACTGTTTCTCACATGGAAATATATTTCTGTAAAGTTCGGTGTTACTGAGTTTGAATGGGTAAATAAATACTAGATTAAAAGACTAGCACACATATACTAGCATATATTATTACATATTCTCTAGACATTTTTTTCATTAAATGTAAAAGGATAGTAGTAAAATTTGTTTGGGGGTCCTGGAGGAATATTTTACAGAATATTGCCCTCAAACACTAATAATTCATGTAGAACAACATCTTCAATACCTGTTGCTTATATGCAGTTTTGAAGTAGGAACATTGTTTTCAGTAAATTGACATGATAGAAAAAATCCTAAAAAAAGCACTATTACAAGGAAAGCCAGTGTTTGAAAGGAGCATCAGGAAGGTATAGATTAATCCATCAGAATACCGCATTGAGAATTTGGAAAACCTTTTCTCCAGGAGATACATGAATTATTATTCCAATTGGCTTTTTGCAAGATCTATGACTTAATGGCAACAGTGTTCAGCACACTGACATTAATCAAGACAAGTTCTGAAATTCACATTAGAAGGTAAAATGCCTCAGTAAGAAAAAAATGATTAATTTGTTACTTGCTGAGCTCTAGAGGTGTCATCCACAAATCGAGTTAGGGCATGCTGGTGTGGAATGGAAGTTCCCTATTTAGGGAACTTTGGTTTTGTGTATGGCCGTGAGACCTACACGGTGAAAGAAGGACAGCCTCTCATTAAGTCCTTTTTCATTAATTCCACAAAATTATAGCCTGAGTTGATCAGAAGTGGTGGCTGAAAACACTATCAATCATGTAAAATAAGGCATATTATCTTAATTCTTATTTCCAATAAGCTGTTATCCACCAGAAACAAACCATTCTGTTAACAATTTCCTCTGACCATCCTCGTGATTTAGAATGAATCCCATACTTGTAGTTTAAGCACCTAAAAGTCAGAGGCCATGAAAGAAGAAATTCAGACATGGATTACAAAATTGTCATTAATGATTTCAGATGACTTAAGGATACTAGAGTTTATGAGAAAGACCCAGTCAAGCTCTCTGAAATGCTCTGTTGCTACTGCGTTCTCAGCTATATCATAAGTAGTAGGTCCACAGAATGGCTTCTCCTGGTGATGGAGATGAGAAGACTCCTGGGATTGAAGACTTCCTAGCCACGTTCAGATAAAGCCAGGATTTGTTTAAAATATCAAATGGTGCTGGACTATTTTGAGCTTCTATTCATTGTTTTATAGTCTAACGGGGGGGGGGGGGGGGAAGGGGGTGGGAGAGTGACACCTGATATAGGGGTGGCAGGGGTTGCTAGAAGGCCAGGAGGCCATTTGCAAAACAAGGCAAGACAAAAACAAACAAAACAAACTCACAAAATAAAAGTAACAGAAAACTGACTACAGTTCAGGGGTTGGTTCTCAGTCTTGGAAGGCATAGAAATTTCCCTACAGGGAACACAAATCACTTGATTTGTTACTAAATTCCGATTACTATACTCCAGTTACATTTACTGTATTGAATAACATCCAATTAAGTTAAATAAAATTCAAATTATTTTTATGGTGAATCTGGATTTTCCTAAACTTTTAAAGTTTCATGGATATCTTGGATCAGTCTCCACCTACACTGTCTGATTTTTTCTTATTTTGACTCTCTTATTTTGAATTGGGGATCACTTCATTTGATCATTCTTGCATTCATTTTGTTCATTCAATGAAAAGTTATCAAATGCTTGCTATTTGCCAGGTACTATGCTAGCACTATGTGCTGGGACCCTTCCATGAAAACTCATTCTAAAAAAAATCAGAAAGTCAAAATTAATGATAATGAATCTAAAATGCACAGGATCCTAAGGTATACTGAGAAACAGAAACAACTAAAAAATTCTAGCCTCGTAGTTTTTATATTAAGAGAATTTGGGGCATACGTCTTCAAAATCATTTTCCTTATTTGCTATCTAGCTGAGTGGATAAGAGCTTTGTTTTATTCGGTTGTGTGGGCACAGATGGGCCTGGGAGGGCAGCTCTGACCCTCCAGAACTCCAGGAGGGCTAGGGTTCCAATAATCCATCTGCTTGGATGGACAGGAAAAGCAAAAATTCATTTGCACACAGTTGCTGTCTGCCAGTTTGCAGCTAAATTCAGATTGAGCACAGGATGATGTA